TGTGTGTGTGTGTGTGTGTGAGAGAGAGAGAGAGAGATTTTAGCACAAGGAACCTACCGCCGACTTAACATGAAGATTGCGAAGAGCCTTTGAGAAGTGATCCTCTGCATCACCAAATTGATGAATAACCACACGTGAACGACGTCCACGTTCCCCCAACTTTGAATTTCGTTTGTTCTGTGGGGGTAGAGCCCTAAAACACACATCCGTGTTGCCTCTTTTAGTGTGTATTACTTGTCAAAGTCCACAGTGGAGTACCTCCTCGATGTCAATGACCCTGGAAAACGGTGATGAGGTAATACACCAGCCAAATAGGAATGGCAAGACATGAGTTCAGTTGTAGCTGCGACACTTATAGTCAGACGAATGAAGAAGATAAGCATGCCCCTCCCACACCGCGAATGGCTTAACACCCTGTCTAACTGAAGTGGCATGGTATTGACGCACCACAGAGGAGCGACAAAACTAAGTCAAAGTTCTATCTCCTGAGAGGCATCATTGATTCTAACGCTCTTGATTAACACCACAAAAGCTAATTAAAAGCCTGTTAATAAAGTTATTGAAACACCTCCTCGAAAGCATCCAACAGTTCATGGAAATGACAAAGCACCTCCCACATCATCAGTGCCAACTTCAAAGAGTAGTGCTTTAAAGGAAGTAAAGAAGTAAATCCTCAGGCTACTCAGACATTTTATCGCCCCTTTTGAATGTCTAGAGAATTTAATGATAAACTTGTCCTAATTTTTAACTACTTACTATTGTATTTGAGTAGTATGTGTTGAGAAGACACACTAGACATCACACAGATGGTGCATTTCGCTTCCGTGTGTGTGGGAATTTTGGAAGCGTTATGTGTTTTTTTTTTGTAACACTCGGTGCGCCATTGGCTAACAAGTTGTTCGCATACACGTGGACATTGGTGATTAGTTCACGTTTTTCTATCAGTTTCACAAGGCATATACTGCTGTACCCTACACTGCAGCGCAGATGTGTCGTCGCCGCCGTCTTTTCGTTCTCCTCCACATGGCGCACAGTAGTGCCAACATCAGCACTCTTGTCTGCCTCTGCTTCACCACAGCACTAAGCCTAAAAGTGGTGACGGTGATGCCGGTGTTGGTGATGATGGTGGTGCCAAGTGATCCACGATAAGCAGGCGTGTCCATGGCCGGTGCGTGGGTGTGTGCCTTGGAGCGATGATTCAACTGGGTTGTAGAGTGACACCAAGACCTTGTGAATGATGCGCTTATAGCATAACGCTACCCACATATGAGAATCTTGCAAGTGGAGAACACAAGTCGAAAGGGTGGAGTAGGGGAGCCCCTAATTGTTTGACACCATCAACAACTTAGACAAAACCTACAAAAGAGGTTTGAGGGCCTCATGAGATATCCTTCTCTTGTGATGTTCCAATTTCATGCCTAGTAATTAGAGAAGGAGTGGAGAACAAAATAAAATTAGCCGTTTTTTGTCTAAATGTTTACTTTTACGTTTGTAAAGTTTTTTTTTTGACAGTCAAGTTGTCAGTAAAGTGCTTCACTGCTTTCCCAAATATCAATGTCAACGTAAGTCCCCTTTTTTCATTCTTTTTTAAAGAGTATTTTGACAATTGGATTAAAAATTTTCTTTAACCCTTTTTATTACCTTTCACGTGGGAGTCATGTGCCACTTAATCATCTACCAAATAAATTGGGAAGTGGAGTTGAATTGGCAGAAAAACACACACACACACAAACTGAGGAAACAGTCAACGGAGGGGAGATGAAGTGCATCACCTCAAAAGCATCCTCTCTGACTGACTGACTGGCTGACTGACTCATTAAAAAGGTGGAGTGGAGAAGAGAGTGGAATGAATACAAAACATCAACAAAAAAAAGTGTAGCCAGAAAAAAAAAGGAAAGAGCGAACAAAAATGAGGATAAGCCCTGGTGGTAGGCTGAAATATTTTGAGGGGGAAAGGTGTGTGACATTTAAATGACCTTTAGCAATAATCCAAGCTGTGACTACACAAAATAGGCATTTGTGTAGGATCTCTCCATTTGACAGATACAAAAATAAGCACAAGGAGTTAAGCCCCACTGCCTTCATTGCTCCCATTAGGCACAGACTGGTTTACTACACTTGTATTGGTGGACAAATTGGATGAATTTGTGGAGCAAAATGGGTTGATGAAATTGGTTAGGAAAGACAAGAAGTTGGGAGAGGATTGAATTGTCCAAAAGTAAAAACTCTATGACTGGTGCTACAACAATTGGTCCATCTTAAGGCTACTCTCACATATTTTGGTCATAGTTTTCCATCAAAGGCGACCAATTTAGACCTTGGCACAAGAAATTAGTTAAACTGATACCGAAGCCGATTTTCGGCTATGATGACAGATTGCAAAAAAGCAATTTTACACTCACCCTGAATCCGTTTGAACTTCATGAACGATGGAAATATCAGCTGACTCAGGAGGCTTGGAGGTGCTCGAGGACTTGGACTCAGAACCAGATAAATCTGTTGCCATATTAACTGCATTATACAGAAGTGTGTGGTCTGAAACCGATTTCTCTGGAGTTGGATACATATCAGCTCCTGGGGGTGTATTCATTGAAATCGCCTCCTGAAGACACTTTGATGTGTTTGCCGTCATCGTTGATGTCTTCATTGAGATGGCAGCAGCTGCTGCTGCAGCAAGAAATGCATTAGACGGTAAAGCTGCCCAGGGATTGGGCAAGAGTGAAGCAGTTTGCCCGGCACCACCACCACCACCGCTAGAGCCGTCTCGTGGGGGTGAAGACCCTCTGACGTCAAAAGTCAGAGCCGCACTGGTGGTGGCTCCACATCCATGGGTTTGCAGGCTACTTAGAAGGCGAGCTGCAAGTTCCTGAGTTGTCGAATATGCGGTGGTACGTGAAAAATTCAGAGGCTCCTGCATATTCGAATATCTTAAAAGGTGCTATGAATCGAAAACGAAGGCGGCGATGTTGGTTTATGAGATTCAGTACGAGGTGGCAGTCCTGAAAACCGAAAAAGATGCACGCTCGCCTGCATAAGGAAACCGGATGGCCAGCACGCATGTTCTTGTAGGCGCCTTGAAGAGTGTGCGGTGAGTGGACCAATCAGAGCCAGACTTCGTGCAGGCACATGCATTTTGGTGCGTGCGTAGCGCCCGTAGAAGGGAAGTGATTGATCTTCCAATCCAACAGCCATTGGTGATTTCAAAAAGAAAACTGGTGACAGTATAAAATATACGTTTTTAAAAATATGCTCTTTTCAATTAGTTCGTAAATAGGCTTAGCTTCTCCTACTCAGTAGCCAAAATGGGGGCAGGTTTGATGGAGTTGTTGGATAAAAACTAAAAGGGACTTGATCCTAAGGGAATAACGCCAAAAAAATATGCTGTGGTACACTTTTGAGAGCATTATGTTTACCCATACATCTTGGTGACGTTGTTACAGTAACAAGAGTCAATCAATGTCATGATATGCCTTGATAAACACACAATGAATTACGGCCCAACATTTACATATTTTATGAGAAAATGTTAAAAAACTTTTAATAATTTTCTGTTCACTGCCTTATTTACTTTTAAGAAAACATACATTTGCTGGAGATTTCCAAAGACTTTGTTGTATCATATTAAAAAATTCTAGAAAGGGTTGCAAGTGGGAATAAGGACAGCCTATTAAATAAAATGTCAGAGGCATCAAAAAATTTTAGTCCCCAAATTTACAAGACATGAGTAAAATTAACCAAAATTAAGACTTGCCTACATTGATTTCTAAGTGGGAAAACTATGCAAATGTTACAGGCCGAAATAGACTGCACCTTAGACTACGTAAAAAGCGTTGCAGCGTGTACTACATAATGCCTCTAAAATTGTGAGAATTAAATTCCATTCTATACCTGGAGATAATTTTGTGCGCCGGCCAAGTGATAGGGTCCAGTATGTTTTTCATGCATGTCAAACGGGCAATGTTCCTCTTCATGTGAACAGCTCTTGCAGGTAGACACACGGTGGCCATGCAGCCTACAACCAGGTAAGCAGGCAGGGAGGCAAAAATACCCACAGAATTCGTAAACTGCACAAGCGCACACTTGCACACACACACACACACACGCATTACCTGTCGCGCCTGTCAACGCGGCAAAGACTGACAAGGAGGGAACGAACAGTCACAAATATAAAGCTGGCTACCTTACAGCCTACCGAAGAGTTTTCCGCTTCCAACACTACGCTATGAATTTACAGAACAATTAAAAGAGTTCGACAAATACCAGATTTACTTGTTAATAGAGGCATAAGCCATCCGTGCCATTTCTGATGATCACGCGTGCAATTATCTTTTGAAAGTTGAGCTGCTAGTGATATTTAATGCCCTGTCCAGATCAAAAACCTCACTAATTAGGGTAAAAAAAATGTGACTATACCGATGAGAACTTATAATGACATAAGTTAGTGCGCACTTAAGCATTATATCACTTTTTGTTTTAAGTTATTCTATTTGAATTACTCTACATTCGCTAAGTGTTTGGAAGTTCCTAATTTTTAAATAAATTTTTGATAATTTTTTAATAAAACATGATAATATCTGTAAAAAAACATTATCAAATGTCTGAGTTGAGCCAAATTTTGACAGATTCCACCTTTAGTAAGGTCTTTCTGGCTCCACCTGTGACCAGCTTCATTTACACCTTACTTTTACCACAATCACATTAGAGTAAGGATAAAATGAGAGCGTGTCTTCCTCCCTCTCTCTCTCCAAATTCGTACAAAACATCTCCTCCAGGACAACTCAGATGATATGTGAATTAAAGCCTTTAGGTGTATCCAGCGCAATCTTATTTGCATAAGTGTAAGTTGATGATCTTTGCTGTAGTTGTTACCTTGTCTTCAGCAGATAAACGAAACCGCCTGCTTTCTCTATCCTCATGCAAATTCACGCCCTTACACTCACACCCTCGCAACAGGGGATGCTTGGGTGAGGGAGGTGGGGTGGTGAAGTTGTGCATCACTTAAATATGTGATATGGGTGGTGTCGATTGCTGTGGTTTAGAGACGACCAACAATAATTGCTATTCTGTCAATGGTCTTAAGTCTGCTAATCAACAAGCTGAGACAAGTATGACAGGCCTTCAAGCATAGTACGACTTTCCACGCCTCAGTTACCTCAGGGCGGGCAGAATGTTACCCTTGAGTGAGGCAAACAATATGAATGTCATTGACAAGAGTGACCTGTTCATTTGCTTCTCAAGTCTACCTCCACAACCCCTTTTCACATGTGTGTGTGTGTGAGTGGGTGGGCATTGCCACAAATGGGAGGCAGGCAATGACTGCAAAGGCTTTAAGTGGTTTTACCTAAATCGAAAATCTTATCATCCGATTGTCATCACACATAGTCAACACGTGACCTTGAGACGCATTTTACTATAAATGGTAAGTTATTAACTGAGTGCTCCTTTCTCTACAACTGGCTAGACAAATTGTGCCATCTAACATCTCTAGCCGACACACACACACACACACATAAACTGGAAAAAGCATGTAGAAGCTTGCATTGTTAAATGTGATTACGTCAAGTGTGTGACACACTAAAGGTGTGTAAATACCTTACTCTCTAGCAAGTAGACAAAAGAATGCATCCAACAAGTGGAATTTACAAGTTGACTCCTGAATCATTTGAGTTACCTATTAACTTAAACGTAAAATTAGTTATGCCTTACCTCTATCTCCCTCCTTTAACGCTACCCTTGGCATGGTCAGCTCCAGCTCCTCTGTGTCCCTCCTTTCTGAGGTCTGTCTCCTCGACTGTTCCCCTGCGCCTTGCCTTATTCCAATCCTCTTCATTTTTTTCGCTCACTTCATTGGGCTAAGTTTTAAAACTGCAAAATTACACTCCCAAAGGTTAAGTGGATGCACAGAGGCAGTAAATGATGCCATCGCTATGGGCTTTCAACTCCTCCGTTAAATCATCGTCGGTGTGTGTAATAATGTGTGTCTCCCATATGGTTATTAAGAGAAAGAAATTTGTCTTCTCCCATTTAATATTTACTCTAAAATGATAAATAACCTATATTGGGTGCTGTCTACCAAATGTCAGGTCTCCCAGCCTATCCCACCGCGCCCATGCCCACCTCTCACCCACCTCAAGGGAAGGAATTGATGGACAGTTGCGCTTTTTTTCCCCTTCCCTTCATTCTGTGAGGGTTAAGTTGGAAGGTTAAAGCCTATTCATGATGTAGGTAAAACAAATTCTTTTTTTTGGTCTCTCACACTACTACCAACGTGCCAAATAGTTTTGTTTTCTACAAGAGTTGGACAAATTTGCCATTTTGTGTTCGTTCCATTTATTGTGTGTATAAAATGGCCTTGGTAGATGAGAGGCGGGAAGGCAGTTTCGAGAGCGGTGCTTCAGCAGCGGTGAGGACCATCCAAACCCCTTAATGAGCCTTTTAAAGTCTCCAAGAGAAGGGTTTTTTTTAAAAAAAGCTAATTTTGTGAACTTGATTGATAAAAGGGATCAAAGTAGGACGAGAGTGATAAAAGACCCGTTTGGTAAGCGAATGCATCATCTCCATCTCTCCACTTGTCATCTCTGTGTGTCGGCAGCTAGACGTTGTGTCACCCCATGATGAAAGATAACTCATTAGCACATCTTGGTGGAGCCCGGATGTATATAGCCACACAGTGATGTGAAGGGTGCGTCTTCAGTGTCACAATAACTGTGCATGAAGAAGGAATTTGTCGTATTATCACTTGAACTGGCTTTCCGGTGCGGATCTGTAGCGTCAGTTCGCGTTAGCCAATGGGAAGGCGGGGCGTAATCTGGAAATACCGTGTCAACCCTGACACATTGAAATCACCACTCTTACAGTAATCTGGTAATCCCAAACCAACTACAGTTGCCATGGGTTAAAGAAAACACGGACAACACCTCTCCTATTTTCGTAGCCTGTAGCAATGATAAAATGAGTTGATATGAAATAATTTACTCTACTTTGATTAAATTTTTGGCGTTAGTAACCCAACTGATGTAATGATTAACAGACGTATGTGTTGGAAGATGTCGTCCACCGACACTACCAAAATGGGACAGGTAAGAGAAGATTGGGAGACAGAGTACTTCTAGAGCCAAATCAGAGACGAGTCTCTTGATGACACAGGCAAAGTTCAGCCCGTCTGTTGCAACCGCAACACATACAAAGAAGGAAAGAGGGAGCGCTCGCCTGCCGCAGATTGATGGCTGAGAGCGCCTGTTTGCGTTCCCTTGCGATCAGCCCAGAACGGATATTCACACGCCGGTATAGAAGGTGAACTGCTAGCCGACATCACATGAAAGGAGTTGCTGCCTGCCAGGCGGTCGAACTGGACGAAATGGGTGAAGTGGAGGAAGGGACGAACAAATGACTTTAACCCATCTCCGCTCCGATCTATTTGCTTACTGTGGCGTGGCGGTCATCCCTAACACGGATGCTGTTTGTCTGCCAAATTTGCACTGATTTAGTTCAGAGGCTATGCATAACCCCGTTTAAACCGCATGAGGTCTTCTACATTCTGCTGTGCCTTTATGGGCTGTAGGCAGAGGTTGGAGAGAAAAGTCAGGAAAGGTGGAATAAACAGACACTATTCCGATCACCAAAAGTTCAAAAAGACTACACTTCATCCGAAGTTAGTGTGGTGTAGGGTGTGTGCTTAAACCCATAGGCGAAAGAAAATTTGCGACTATGCCATCTTGACAATCTTTATGGGAACATATGCAACTGAATGGGATAACAATGGTATTTTAATCCGGTGATTCTAGTCAGCATAGTCGCAAATAAACTTCCAATTTGGCGTCTATCGGTCTGCATCGATATTCGCCCATGCCTCTATCTCGCCTTTAATAATAGTTAAGCTACTTATTTTGCCACTGCCTAATTCAGTAGCATTTTGTC